AAAAGAAAATGAGTATTTTACTTGAGCTTTAGATGCTCGACACAATCGAAGAGCCCCTTCTGCTGCAACTCAATTATTACACTCCATCTGCTCCAAGTATTTATCAGTCGACTGATTACAGAGAGAGCCCATGAAATCTGATGCGAAATCTGAACTCAGTTTAGGGGTAAAATCCATAACCGTGCCTCGTGGTTTTCTTCTATCGATATTCGTATTCAGATATACTTTTTTGTCTTTGCTTATTCTGTAATTCTCAATGCAATACATCTGTTTCTTAAAGATATGATTTTGATCTTATTGGAAAAATGAAGCTCCCGACTTTTTTACCTTTTTGTTTGTTTCTCTATGGTATTTTCGGCGATTATGTCCTGTGGGCAATTAGGGTTTTTGATTTTATGATTGGTGTCGACATTTTTCTCTCTATGTCATGGTTCTTTGCTTGAGCTGGCTCAGTTAGACAGCTGCAGTATTTGATTTAAAATGTTAAAATCCGAGCAGTTTTATGATTTGCATTTTGTGGTTCTACCTGTTTGTTTAGGAGAGGTTTCGGTTAGTAGCTTTTGGAAGAGCATTTTTCATCATTCTAAGTTTCACATGCATGGGTTTGTTGATTCTATAGAGCTTAGGTGCTATAAAATGTGAAAAAAAAATCCAAGTTTTCAATCCCCGGGTTTTCTTTAATTCTATTTATTTCTTTAAATATAAAGGCCCAAATATTTTTGGGTCACTTAATCTTACTCTCATCTTATTCTTGATTGTTATTCGTATTAAGGATGGATAAAGTGAGCAAGTTGAGGACTTGATGTTCGAAAGATGTAGATATGCAAGTTTGCTAGATGAATAAATCTGAAGTAAGACGTAATTGAGCTAGCACTGTAGTTTTTACGATGTTCTCTTTTAAAAGATTTTATTACATAAAGTTAACTACTTTTGAATGAAACCCAAATTTTGTGGAAGGCCTCCAAATTGATAGTGTGGCCCTAATTAACTGTTTTCTTGCCTATATATGAGATAAGGCCCTGGACTCTGTATGATTATCTGCTCTTTTGTTGAATTTCATGTTATTTAGCATATATATATATATATATATATATATATATATTTTATGCTTGCGTGATTCTTCTGAAGATTTTTTATTCTAGACGAGGGAAGGGTCGATCCTATCCATGTGGGCAGTTCCCTTGTGTGTTGATCCAAAGGTTAAAACCCCTGTGAGGGCAATGCCAATGGGGGTAGGCATAGGATGAATTTCACCCTATAAGAGATAGGACATAGAGGGTCAGCTTCATCTTAAAAAAAATATCAAATTTAAGGGATTTCTCTTTATTTCGGGTAAATAAATATGCATGTATTGAGTGGGGTGTGTTTTTGCATTTTCACATTGTCTTGGACATACGGGAAAATATTAGTTTACGAAAGAGTTTGCAGGTTCAGTCCCATCACACAATTCGGAACATTTAATATCATCAGTTCCATCTTTGCTCGACTTGTGCTTACTCTAAACTTCTTCAGTGTTAGAATTGTTTTAAAACTGCCGGATCTTTTGAACTTGATGCTCTATGTTACGTGGTCATCTTTTGTTTGTTATGGGTGCATAGAACGTTCTTTTATTTGTTCAACTATTAAGACCTGTCACATTCACTGATCTGTTTTTAGTTTGAATACTTGTCACTTCAAGAAGATCCGGAGAGTTTCTTTCATTCTAAAAATTGATATGTATCTCGTTCAAGTAAAAATTTTGTTGTGGAATATCAGGATGCAAGAATGGATGACAAACGAAGTGATGCTTATCAAACTAGTAGGTCAGCTCTACCGATATCTGCATGGAGGTACTCTCTTTCTTGCTGGAATCACTTCATTTTTTCTTTCTCCTTGTGCCTCTAGATATTGTTTAAAACATGGCTTTGTAATTTGTACAATTTAGCATGGATAACAACCTTTTTATTTTTATTTTTTTAAATCTTCTGAACAGGGGGAGGTTTAATATACCGAGGCAGAACCTAAGTCTCAATGTAGCTGCTCATGTCTCGAACAGTGCATGCTTGGAGGTGGCTAGTATAATGCCTGACTCATTATGTTTGGAAATTGTCCCGCGCATTGATATTTGGCCAGCGTCCTTTAAGAGCTCACCACCTAACGAACATAGTGTTGCGCTCTTTTTCTTCCCAGAGCAAGGGTAAGGAAACTAGATTGATCATGTTATCCCCTTCCCCAACCACATTTTCTGTCTCTCTCTCTTTTTTTTTTTTTTTTCATTTCTATAATTTTTACTCATAAATGTGTTCAGTGACGAAGGAGTTTTCAGTAATCTGCTGACATATGCAATGTGCGGTGACTATGCCCTTAAAGCAACTATTGGGAAAGCTGAACTCCTAATATTTGCTTCTATCCAACTTCCCGAGAAGCTCCACCGTGAGTCCAAATTAGTTCTGTACTTTTGAGCAATATCGTACTTTTTTTTAGGGGGGCAATTTATTACTACTTTTTTATTCTCATAAATTTGCAGGATTCCAAGGCAAACCTTATTTGTGGGGTGTTTTCAAGGGACAACGTGTTGGTACTTCTCAATCGGAGCATCAATTGCACATTCAGACCCCTATGGTGAGGCTGAGCCTGTCTGCAAATTCGTGTGGCCAGAGAAGCTTTGATGGGAAAGAGAATCCAGTAACCATTTCGAGGGAGCAGAGTCCTTGTAAGTCCTAGAGACTTGTAAAGTTGTAATTGTTATTCTCACCATTATTGGCCAAAGTTTGTTTGTTTGTGGTTAAATTGTATAATTGTTTTCTTAGAATGGAGATTCCAAAATATACTCTCAACACACCATATATTGCTCTTATTCAATATCTTCTAAGGTACATGACTAGAAATTTGCAAACTTTGAAGCATATGATGATCTAGCTCGTATTTATTATCCCTTATTTTGTAGCATGTAATTTTGACCTGTTTCTACAAGACTACAAGTAATATATTGTGACATCTATTCTTGATGAGTATTTTATTTTCATTGTTTTTTATGCGTTTTATTTTTTTGTTTAATTTCATGGAATAGTAACACAAGATTCAAAAGTTGATAGAAGGGGAAGGCGTCTAGACGATGCTTGGCAGCATGCAAATCCGTTAGACCCATTAAGACAGAAAGCAGAGTGCAAATATTGTGGTTTTCTTTCCTCACATGGTGGGATTTCTCGACTTAAAGCACATCTGGGGGGAGGACACCCGAAAATCCGCTTGCCAGGTTGTGAGCGGGTCCCGCCTGAGGTGAAACATGTCATGGGCGACTGGTTCAATGATTGGGTATACACAACCAAAGCTCTTTGGACGAAGGAAATTAGAGGTAATGCGTTAAACTTAACATAATATATTTTTCTACTGTGGTGCATATTTTTGTGGCACAACTTGAGGTCATGGTACTTGGGTTTTCTTTTAAGTTTGAAGGCATTGGGTGCTTATGCTGTTTTAAACAAGTACTGTTATTTGGAAATTTTCAAAACGCTCATGTTAGGTTGAAAATCTCATTGAGGGAAAAAAAAAAAAATTCAACTTCAAATTATATCAGAAGAACTCAGTTGTAACTAGGAAAGCAGCTCAAAAAAGATTTGTTCTATGTTCGCTAAACATCAATTTTAAATGCAGAGCGACTCTTTTTGCTATAAGACACAAGGTTTGATCTGTTTTTCTAATATGCTTTGTTTTGACTTTCGTTGACTGCTGTATGTGAATTTGTTGGTGATGGGCATCAGCTGAGATTGGTGTGCATGATGAAATGGAGAACCCACATGAAGCTGTCTGGGAAGATCAAAAGAGAGACTTGAAGGGGTGTTTTAGCTTTGACTTTTCACGTGGTGAAATTTCTCATAAGGTTCCGGGTGGAGGGAACCAAAATGCAAATGGGGAAACTGGGCTTAAAGTGTCATCTGGAAAAAAAGGAGTCCCAACTGTAAAAGTAAAAAATATAAAGGCCTCTATTTCACCTGAAACAAAAGCAGTCATGCCTGGTTGGTCAAAAAGTCCGCCATCATCGTCTAAGGTCAAAGAGTCTCAAGGTATATGTGCCATTTTCTGAACTTGCATTGTTTTTTCCTCTTTTGTATTTTATTCTCATAATATACATAAATAAAGTTAAGGGACAATCACGCATACCATTCTTAAAGTTTAGTCTAATGACAAGACGAAAAAAGTTCAATTATCTTTCACAATCAATACTTTGCCAAATTTGACGTTAGCAGGTGGTGAGCAATCTGATAAGAGGGGAAGGCCATTGGATAACGCTTGGCAACACGCGAAGGCATTGGACGAAGCTAGGCAAAAGACACAGTGCAACTATTGTGGTTTTGTCTCAATGTACGGAGGAATTTCACGACTAAAAGCCCACTTGGCTGGAGGCTCTTCTGAGATGCAGCTGCAGGGTTGCCCTCGTGTTTCGCTCGAAATCAAAACTGTGATGGAGGAATGGTTCAACGAATGGGTCAAGTACGCTACAGCCACTTGGACAAGGAGGTCAAACGGTAAGAAATTCTCGTAGAACGAAAAAAATGACTTTTTTTTTTACTCTTTTACTTGATTTTATTATATTACTTTTAGATAATGAGGTCAAACAAACTTTGCTTATCTTCTCAAAATCACAAATACCTCTTAGTAACCTTCGTGAGGTGTGTTGCAAACATTCTTGCAATTTATATATAGTCGTGTCATACTTTCAAATCGATCGGTTATATTGTTTAAACTTTTGACAAGTTACTTTGCTGAATGCTTTTAGAGAAAGTTCCTTCAGCCAAATCTTATAAGAGGGGAAGGCCGCTAGATGACACGTGGGAACACGCTGTACCTCTGGACGAGTCGAAACAGGCCACTAAATGCAAGTATTGTGGTTTTGTGTCGAGGCGCGGTGGAATTGCGCGAATGAGGGCTCATTTGGGAGGCGGTGATCTCACGATGCAGTTGGAAGGGTGTCCTTACGTGCCGCTCGAGGTCAAAAGTTCGATGATGCCAACTCTCGAAAAAAAGAAATACAAGAAAAAGTCAAAGGCTGCAAATAATATAGAGGCTGCTGCTGGAGGAGGAGGAGGGGCTCAAGGTAAGATACCTCTTACGAGACGTAGAGTGATTTAATAATGCATGTTTCATTTTTTTTTTTCATTTTGGTCCCCTGACTTGCACTATATTAATCTTTGACCCCTAAATGCAAAAGTCTTGACTTTGAGTACTAATTCACATTTTGCTCATCATCTTCATTGGTAGAGACTGCGAGTATGGCAGGCGAGGCCCAATGGTTTGAGAGAAGAAAGCATGAAATTCTCCAAGAGACGCTCGATGGGGTCCGCAACACTTGCCTGAAAGAAAGCCTTCAAAAGCTTATACAAGAGAAGAATGCCAATCTGCAAACTATGCAATTCGAAATACACTCCCTCCAAAACCGGTTAGCTACAATGCCTTGACCAGATTATCATAATAAGGCCATTATTGCGTAATATTTTAGTAATTATATCAAGTTTTAGGCAGAATGGATGTGTTGAGAATGAATGAATTCCAGACACTAATGGCATTTCTCCCTAATACTGTTTGTGCTTATATTATGTTTTCTTGTTCATATGACTTGTAACATATTTGTGTTTAAGATTTGAAACTGTGCAAGTGTTCCTGAATCTGTCTGTGGATGTGATTTTTGTAATTTTTATGTTGTCTTTTATCTGAAGTCTGAACGTTGTAATGAAAATTCTGATCAGTATGTCTGTATGTGTGAAGGTTGGAGATNTATTCCAAGAAATCTCAAATTGGAGAAATTTCAAACAAAGATACGATGTTGGAAATACAAAGGAAAAAAAGCCTTATATGGTAGGCTAATTGAGTGACATTTGGTTTCTAAATCACGACAATTATATCAAGCACATTCCTAAATCGCACATCACTAGCGGTAGGTGTTGAATTTTGTAGAAAAAAAATGTCTATAAAATATAAATGCTTATGTGGTTGTAGAGTTGTTAAATGAAACGAGCAACTCGGCTTGGCTTGAACTCATTTAACACTCGTTTAGCTAAAGAGCCAAGCTCGATTTCACTTGATCAGGCTAAAAAAAAAAAAATTTTAGAATTTTTTTTGTAAGTGAATTCATTAAGACTTGAATTTGATTACTAGGTCGTTAACAAACTGAGCCGAGTTGTAGACATGGGCAATTGAGATATTAGTTAAGCATGAGAAAATTCGACCAAATGTTAATTTTCTAACAATTAAAGTATTAAATGTCAATTATATAATTACATTTTGAAAATATTAACATAATCCAATAATGTTACACTATTGTTAAGCATTTAGAAAATACTAGTATTAGATTTTGTGCACATGTACAAAAGTATACAAAAATTTATACTACTTTTACTCATTTTTTTTTATAAATATAATTTTGGCTTTATCAACAATTAACCAAATAAATGACGTTTTGGATCTTTTGTACATATTTTTTCATTATTACCCTTGTCTTTTCATATTCATCTTCATATTTTCTCAAAACATTCATCTCTATCCTCATTAATGAGGGTTATTATTGGCAAAAAAATTATTCTTAATTACCGTGCAACTTCTCAAAACGACACTTATTAAAAAAAGGAGGAAGTATATTATATATATGTATATATTATTTAAATTGCAAATTAGATAATTTAGATAGACCATCCAATTAATTCGTTAGAAAAATATGACAATTATTTTTATTATTGTTATAGCACTTGTTTATGTTATTTTAAGGAATTTGATTATACCCCTCAAATCTATTAACTAATATTAGAGAAAAATCTAAGAATAAGACAAAAAATAATGTTAATTGTATAATTCATATATGAAAGAAAAAAGTTTGCAATATTTTTTTCGGAAAAGATAGAATTTAAAGTTAAAAATCCAGAAATACAACTAGAAATCAATTAGAATGAGCCAGCCAAACAGTCATCTAGCTGACTCCAGGGAAGCCTACACAAAATAGACATCAGAATTACGCTAACGCACCCACAGCACAGACAAACTATACACTTCCAGGGGAGAATCCAATTTCAAGAAAGAAGAATAAAACTAAAACAACCAACAAGGCTACTAAAGAAAAACACAGAAACACACAAAACACCATAAATACTAAGAAAACCCTCCTCCAACCACAATAAGTCAGTCACACAAATGACGGCCCGACAACTAGAGACGACCCGGCAAAAGGAAAGAAACCTAACCCGAGAAAAGAACCCAAAAACTCCGGCAAGCGGCTAGCTGGACTATCCGCCGAACCAAGACACCTTACCCGACTAAGCCACCCCAGCAACCGGAGCACCGCCCTCGACCTTGCACCCAGCAATGTTGCCCGCTCCAACCAAACACCACAATATCTGCATAAGGCAGCAGAAGCAACCTAGGGGAAGAGGGCCACACCTCACCCTGGCCAACTCATCGGACAAGGCCGAAATCAGCCGATCTCCTACGCCTCGACAGCCGCCAAAACCTCCACCAATGAGTAGACAACTGGCGAGCGCGGCGATCTACCATGGAGAGGGGTCGTCGACGCTAGACGAGGAGAGCCGCTCGGTCCGATCGGCACAAAAGCGCCGCTGCAAGCGCGACTGGAGGATGCAACGGGAACTAGCCTCCGACTTGATCTGAGTTTTTTTTTTTTTTTTTNGATTAAAAAATTCTCACTTTTTAATATATTTTTCTTTTAAGTATGTAAGTTTTACACGCAATTTAATGTAAATTTATAATTAGTTAGTAATAATAGTTACTATTATATAATGAATTAGTTTAGAATTATTATTACATTTAATTAATGTAAAATGTAATAATTTTCTTCTATGAAAAAATAAGCGAAATAATTATATGATTTATATTAATTGCATAGTCTACAATTATATATATAGATCAACATTGTCTAATAAACATAGTTCACTCCTCATTATGTCACATCACCACATTTCAAGATATTGTAATATTTTATTGTCCACCTACTTACAGTGGCTCATTACCACGTTTCAATATCTCATAGTATTTCAACAACTTAACATCGTAAACGGTATGCAAATATCTTGTAACATAAGTTAGTGAACATAGAAAGAGAGTATAACATTAGTTGATGAATATATTAACCTCTGTTTACCATGAATAGAAGACCGAGACTAACGATGTATGAGTAGGTTCCTTTATTTCATAATTTATACCAAATATATTATAATATATTGATAATTTCAAATATGTTAATGTGTAAAATAAAAATTTAAATGTCTCATAACCTAAGGTATGAATATTTAAATGCTAATGGGATACATTCTCCTCTATTGTTTTTGGTTGCACTTTTTTATTCTAGTTATTTATCGTTTTACATTATTTTTCCTTTTATATAATATGAAAGATCTAAAAAGTAATAATTAAAATGTGAAAGACAATGACTAATTATTAGAAAAAGTATATGATACTGTTGGATTTTAGACGTATGAACCCGACGTACGCGCAGCGAAATTTTAAAATTTTCTTACCAACAACGAAGATCCGGCTATAACTATTCGATATGATCCTAGATCGCGTGAATGATATACGAAAACTTACAGTTATTCGTCGTTTGTCCTCGACTATGGTATCCACGCAATCCAGTTTCTCGATGCACGATCTAACGCCAATGAATCCCTTCTGGTGAAGAAGCTAGGAATCCTCGATCCGGAAAAATAGAGAATGTTCTGTCTTTTGTTGATCTCACAATCTCTAAGATGTTTGGGATCTCTCAAAGTCTTTCTTATCGATCCAACGATTAATTATTATGAAGAGATAATGAAATATTTATAATTAGGTCAAAACTTAATTATATGGGCCTTAGGATACCCTACAGCACAATAGGTAATTAGACCTAATCCAATTAATATTTTAATTAAATATAAATCTAATTTAACTTAATTAATATTTTCCATCAAATAGAAAATTATCTCATTACTAATTAAGTATAAATTTAATTTAACTTAATTAAATATTTTCTATCAAATAGAAAATAATCTCATTACTCATAAATAAATATTCCAATCTAATTGAATATTTAACACTCTCGATTCACTCTTAGTCGAAAAACTGATTGCATATTGTGTGACCCTATAGGCCTTCATATATTAACATAAATCTAATTTATGATCCTTACGAAACTCCTAGACTGCGTCGAAGGACGAACTCAAAATATGAAGTACGTTTATATGGACAAGCAAACAAACCTTTGGTGTAGAATTCAATAGTGATACGGTCCCTTCATTCACGAACCACTCGATTAAGCTTAGGACTTGAATGTGTGTCTATCCAAACAGCTTAATCATTTTATCTCATCTCACTGGTTGATTTTAATTAATTATATTTGAACACCATTTCAAATATAATCACGTGCATTGGCAATGACTTCATCAACCCAGTATAGAGAAAACGAGTGTTCTCCCGAAACTATATTCGATGAATGAATCCTATCTTGGCTCAACTATCAATTCCATGTATATCGTGATCTACCCAACACAAGCCCGTATCTACCCATAGGGCGTAAGCTTTGGACTAGGTCTAAGTAAATCGCTCTATACATGTATTGCGTATTGACCTCAAGTCAAAGGACTATTACACCATTCCACACACCGATACTCCCATAGACACATAAACAAATGGTTTATCGGTAGGGTATGTCAATACTCTCCAAAGTATCCATGTGTCCATCACGAATAACAATTATTCATAGTAGTGAGACATACTATATTCTCCAAGAATGTGATGCAGACCACATGTCAATCTATCGCGTATCATTAATATCCCTTTCTTAATGATCATCGATTGAGACGATTTGAAAGTTATACTTTATCAATTAACATTTCACTCTATTAATGACAGTATTAACTCAAGAGAACAATTAATTAATAAATTACAAACAATCAAACAATTATTTAATTAATTGCAATACCATAATTATAATCTAATATAATTATTAATGTGATCATGTATATATGTCCTCAAAAAAATTGTCTCTAGGACACATATACCAACAATCTCCCACTTGAACTAGAGGCAATCACCAATATATCTAATATACATTTTCTTAAAATGACTATTGTGCTCAACTATGCACAATGGTTTGGTGAACGAACCATTCAAGTAATGTTCAGTTTGAACACGTTCTAATTTATTTCTCATCTATCAATTATCTCTAAATAAATGATAGCGCCTTTGTACATATTTATTTTGTTGTTGGATCTTGGTTCCTTTGCCCGTGCAATCGCACCGTTTTATCAAAATATATAGATATTAGATAAATGGCACTTGGAACTACCCCTATTTCATTTAAGAACTCATGTATCCAAATAGCCTCCATAGGCTTTTAATGCAACAATGTACTTGGCCTTTGCGGCTGAATTCACAGTGGTTTATTGGTTGGAACTATTCTAACTCACTGCCTCATCATTGAAATGAATATAAGACTATTAAATTATTATTCCCACCATAAAATAAAATATATTCTTTAGTCCATCTAATGTACTAAATAATCTTCTTAATAGTCTTCCAATATATCTCTCCAAGTGATACTAAATGTACATGAAATAACATGCATGATAGACTCCATCGCATAGCATAAGCATATGAAATCTTCTTCATGCAACCAACTTTGGCATCAATGGAAAGACAATCTTTCTTTTCCAACTTCATGTCATGACCATTGGAATATTCCCTTTTTTAGAATTTTTCATGGAGAAACATTTCAGTACCTTGACTATACACGTGGACAGTGAAAACTCTAACACTCTATCAGGTCTATCTCGATAGATCCTAATTTCAAGAGTATAGCAGGTTTCACTCAAGCCCTTCACAATGAAGGTACTTGATAATCAATCTTTCATGAACTGCAGGTGATAAGCATCATTTCATTATCAATATGCCACATACATATATGATAAAAACAATATTATCCTCATTGTGTGTACTATAAACGCATAGATCCTTCTTACTTTTCACAAAGTCAAACAATTATGTAACTTTGTAGAAACAAACATTCCGACTCTCAGAGGCTTGCTTAAGTCCATAACTGGATCTTTGTAACTCGTATACTAA